ACTTCTCTATTGCAATTTATCTGGTACTTCCGGCTTGGGCAAGGATCATTTCTGATCGGATGTTCCAAATGGCGTAGAATGTTTGTGCAACTGCAGCGATATGAGCGTTGAAGTTAGAACAGCGGCTTATTCTGAACTTCGGCCAATTATCGGCATGAATGGCCTTATAATAGAGAGCCCACGCGATCGCAGCACTCCTACCGTCCTCATGGGTTACTGTATTTTACTGATTGCTTTCATTCATGTCGGCAACGTTCTAGCACAGTCATGCGCAGATGGTGGAGTTGGACGTAAGATTATTTAAAATTGAAGCCTAAGGGTTCCCGTTAAGAAAGAGAGGGACTGATAATTAACGTTGAACTGTACAGGGTTGATGCTCTTGCGAATTCACCAAGTAGCATAAGTACGGGACCGTAACCACCGATTTCTTGGGTTTTAGAAAAAAGACCTTTACTACTTGTTACCTGTGTCCTCCAGTGTGGGAATCGAAAGACCTTCGAATTATCATGCCGGAATCCCCAAGTTTTCCATCGACTACGGCCCCTGTGGCATTAGTAACCCATGGGAGACGTAAACTCTATGAAGAGAAAGCCAGAAGGGATTCTGCAGGTGGACTCCCAGGCTTCCACGGCTTATCTCCTATCATTTCAGCTTGCCTTTCTGGAACGTGCCCTCCGTCGTTTACTTGCCTAACCAATATTGACAGTTGTTGTGACAATAGTCAGGTATGATCCACACCAAATCAATTCGATTTTTGCGAGTTTTTTCAAAATTAAATTGTAATCATAACAGGTTTCTTACGAGCGACTTTCGAGTGTTGTTAATGACCTCTACAGTTTCATTCAGATCGTACCTGCTCCTACTCCACCTCCACCAGTAACCACTGCACCTCCTGTAACAGTTCCTCCAGTAACCGTTCCACCAGCTACCGTTCCCCCAGTTGTGACTGCTGGCCCAGGAGTCACTGTACAAACTACAGCGGCTTCTACAAGTAAGCAACTTTATCGTAATGTCACTGGAATCAGTTTTTTTCACGACTTATTAGAGAACGTGTTTATACTCCCACCGTGTTCGCAGCCAGAGATGAGATAGTGTTCACGCGTAGGAGACGGAGGCAGTCAGCGAGCTATTTGACAAGTACGTTGGTACCCAGAAGGCGCATTGGCTGGAGGTTTTGGGGTGGCTAGCTGAATTCCACGTCGTCATTTTCACCTCCTGTACATTTTGTCACTGAAAAGTGCATAAAAAAGTTTTACGGTACTAAAAGTGAGGATCCGACGGGTCCTGCACAGTTCCAGTAAGAGAAAAGGTGAATAAACAACCAAATAAACCAATAGATGTAATTCAGCCTGTGTGGACAAACTTAATGCAGCGACAGGCTCTTCCGACTGCCCTTCTATGGCATCGTATTGTAACAATGCAGTCTACTACAACCTTATGACTGAACAATGTCCAAGGACATGTGGACGTTGCTCGTCGTCATCTTCTCCTACTACTAACTCCAGTAAGTAAGGTATTTATCTTGAAGTTGAAGCAGCCTAATAAATAGCGTAGGGGCCTTGTAAAAATAGCAGTTGAGTAACCTGTAAGAAGTCTTTTGGGTCAAATTTCATCAAAAGAACCTCTTTCAGCTTGTGTGGATAAGATAAATACAGCGAAAGGCTATTCCGATTGCCCTTCAATGGCCTCGTACTGTAACGTTGCTTCTTACTACACCCTTATGACTGAACAGTGCCCAAAAACATGTGGACGCTGTTCGTCGTCGTCCAGCACGACCGCTCCAACATGTAAGTTGTTTTACTGCCACCATTAATATTTCTACTCATGGTGCATGGCCGCCAAGAGCTCGTTTTGGTCAATTCATAGACGACTTAAAGGGACAGTTCACGATAATTTCGGGTAATCCAGATTATGATAAAAAATGGAAGACAAGATCGAAATTAGTGCGACTGAGGTAAA